TGCGGATTTGCTACAAGGTAAATCTCCAGATCCGCTAGCCAGCTCAACCTGAGATGTCGTAAGTAGGAATCATTGCCTGCATGCACAAGGATAGCAAGAGCATCCAAGGTTGCAATACTTTCGTCTTCGCAAAGCAGTTGTGGGGCACGTAGTGCGCAAACATGAGGCCAGACAGCGAACAGCGAAGCGCAATCATTCTTTCAGAGTTTGCCTCAGCTCCCTCTCCAGGATGGGTGCCGCATCTTCATCTACATGCAGCTGCAGGCAATGTTGGACAGCTCTCTCTGTTGCAACATTCATGTGCATGTGGGAGGCAACATCTGCGTTAACCTCGCTGGCACCGCAGTTGGCCCCTGAAGTCATGGCAGGTCATCTGCCAAGCTGCGCACGCGCTGTTGGACTTAATTCCAAAGATCTTTTGGGATGTCGTCCAAGCCAAGTCAGGACTGTCTCGCGATTTCTTCCGCGCTTGCCAAGAGCAGGCAGAGAAGGCTGAAGTAGCGACATCAGTGACTTTGAATGCGTACTGGCGCGGAGATTTTTTGTCGGAGGGGCAAGAGGCCCTTGACGCGGAAGTTGCGGCTACTCCAGGTGACACAACTGCAGTTGCTGCAGCTCTACGCGCGTGCAGGGGTGTGAATCGTGCCAGGTCAACATGACATTCCGCATGCTCCAGAGTTCTACGATCTCCCGGCTTGTTCGCTCAGTTCCCATGCTATTATGGAAGCTTTTTGCTTCCTGTGGCTGGCAGGACATATCAGCTGGCGATGATACAGGCCGACATGCTCATGTCCAAGTGCTAGCTGCCAAGTATAAAACATCATTTGGCCTGTGGACATGATTTCCGCAGGCCTTGTGGTAGTTGATCACTGCCCGGTCCAAGACTGTCTCGTCCCAGTACGCATTGTCCCTGTGGCAAAGCTAGCGAAGAATCTGCACCCTCTTTAGCCCCATCGCAGGCCCCGGATTCCAATCCTTCAAATTTGAACCCACCACTGACTGAAGACCCGAAGAGCTTTTCCACAGGTTCGACGGTGTCCGAGACGGCTGCCTTAGAGGCCCAACGATGAAAGCAAGATATGTCTGTTGGGAGTGCCCAGCTTTGCATGCAGGGAGTGACTTAGACTGGATATGCCGGAGCAGATGGGAATTATAAGTGCTGCTTGGACTTCGGGTTTTGAGGCACATGCTGCATCTCACTGTGCGGGCATTGACTTCCTGGGCGTTGTGGAGAACAAGAAGCTGGTGCTCAGACCCAGAGTCGGAGGTAGGCTTTCGTTGTGAAGTGGTCCCAACCTCTTTTCACTTTCATGGCAGTCTGGCATGTTTGCTCTACACCTCCATAATGAGGTACCAGCCGTTTCCGCTTTCAGACGCCTGTTGAGGAAGTGGCATGCTGAGCTGAGGGCACGGTTCGATAGGTGTTAAGGCAAATCTTGCGTGTCCGAAAGAAGGAAGCCTAGAGACTGGTCTCTCCCCTGCCGTGGCCTGACATGTTGGAGTCACAAGAACTTGAGGATGAACGTAGAGGAGCTTCTCAGGAGTCTGATTGGTCTTTAAGTTCCCAGGTGCCAGCAGAGGTCTTTCAAAGGGCCCAATCCACCTGAACGCTGGGATCATGATGAGAGCAGACTAATGTCTTGCATGCTTGGATAATTAGAAGCAAAGATGGACACCAAAAGGCCCTTTGCTTCATGTGGTTTGATGCGGTGGAAACTAGATGCTGAAGGTCGAAACAGGGTGCTGTCCGACCGAAGCCTGAGGCCTGCATGTGATAGTTGGCCATCATTGCCCGTACGATCGAAATCTCGCTTTGTAGGTGGCCTGGGAGCCATCAGGCTTGGACGACCTGGTGTAGGCTAAAACAAAACAAATTGCGGCCTATGCAGGCAGCGAGCCCCCGCAAAAGAATGCGGTGCCGGCCGAAAGTGGCAGGCATGGGTTAATGGCAAGTACTTGACGGGAACTTGTGTGTAAGAGGTAATAGGGTGCAGTACTTCTGCTGGTGAAAGATTTCAATGATGGCCGTGTCCAGAATACACACAGCATCTATATCCTTGAGAAACAATTGTGGAGGCGAAGGCGTTCCAGCGCCCTGAGGGCCAGATGCTCGGTTCACGGATTTCGGTTCTGCAAGTTCCTGCCAGACCAAACCTCTGCAAAATCCCGCTTTTCGACAGGCATCGTGTTGCAGTAATGTTGCAATAGAGAGTAGCAATCATGAATAACTTGTGGCTCATGCCCACCTTTGAGGAGAAGAACCGCGAGCGCCAGCGCGGATCTATGGCCACTGCCTCGGGCCAATTCTAGCCAGCCTTGAGTAGACGAGATTTCATGGCCAGGATGCCGTAGCAGAGCGCCTTGGGGAAGCAGTGCGTTTGAGGAGATGAACCAGCGATCAACTGCAATGCTGCCTCATTTTGCTGCAGTAGATTGCAGGAGCCAGCATGTCCGCGACGGGGCATTGGAGGTCCATTGTTAGGTTAAGAAATGCAAGACGTTCAACTGGACTGCAGTAGTTGCTGCATTTTTAACAATGAAGACACGTAGGGTTTGCTGTTTGACGCAAGCTTGCTGTGTGTTTTGCCGTGGCAACTCCAGGTTGTTCTTGAAGAGGAGGATTATGGAAGCAAGGTGAGCGGGGTTTGTTTCAACCCTATATAACTTCGCTGCATTGTTGAGGTTATAATCTGAGATTAGCTGCTGGCAGGCCAAGCCTGCCCCAAGCCAGCGTGAGAAGCAGGCGCTGCAATTCCAGCATGTGCAGTTGGGCGGCTTTGCACTGTTTTTCCCAGCTGGTTTTGCTTGAGTCGATGGCTTGGCCCAGGATGTGGTCAAGTCCATCAACTCGGGTGAGACTGACATCAATACTTGCAGCCCAGTGCAGGCGGATTCTGTTTTGTTTGCTGCCGAGCATGACGCGGGTTGGCAGTCAGGCTACAGCATCTGCCCAGCAACGAAAACGCTTTTCGCTACCGCTGCCAACGCGAAGAAGGTGCATGGTCCCTGTAAAGAGCGGTGGAATCGAACTCCCTTCTGTGACCGGCAATGCTTTTACCTTGGTGTCGTTTTTTCTTCGAACATGTTTGCAAGCAGTTGCATGTTTAGGCACGCGTGTGTGAAGCAGTTGCACACTTGTCACCGTCCATGTCCATGTAAAACTTCAGGAGGTCTTCTGCTCGCTCGATTGGAACGGATTCAGAGGCACAATGCGGATGAAAGTCAAAGGGGCAGGAGTGCAGAAACACGAGCACTGACCTGAGGACAGCATGTCTTCAGCTGGGGTTGGCGGAGCCGCCAACGAGGATGACCTCAGCCTTCGCCGTGGAGCTAAGCTACATTTCTTGGAACATTCGCTCACGTGTCTGGTTTGCCTGCAGCAGCATCAACAGCTTTCAGGCAGCACGAGTTCTGCCCAACTCTGAGCTTCAACAGGGTGTCAGCTGGGTTTTCCGCTTGAAGCGTTCCGCAGGCTATGGATCCTTTCTACGACCGGATGCGATCAGCTCGACGCGAAGGCCTTTTGTTGCCTGATTGTGCTTGGATTGCCACGGGATGTTGAGAGATTTTGTTTGTGATGTCAGTCAGCATTAACTGACATTTTCATGGATAATTATATAGCTGAACAATACAGCTCAGTCTTGCGTGCCACCACAGGCTCGTCGGCATTATCCACCACGACTGCGTCGTCAATATCTTCCCGTCCCTCCAGCCCATGTTTGGGTACACCGCCTGCTGCCATGTCCCCAGGCCAGGATGTTCATATTCACGTTTTGGATCCTGCTAAACAAATGCTGAGCCAGATCAAGCCAGCACTAGCAAGTCCTATTGGGTTGCAGCCAGATGAGCCGTAAATTGTAGGCATTGACCAAGGCATTGCCAACGGTAGCACATAGTAAAAATGTGAGTTGTCCAACGGGTCGAACCTGGGCACCGGGTAATTCAGCCGACGAGTATGCATGCCATGAGCTTCAACAGTTGCAGAAACGAAGAAGGACGCCTGCAACTGGCCGTTCAATTCGATTTGCAGACAATGGGATGTGGACAAAAACCAAGGGGCCTGAGGCAGAAAAACGCATGACGCGGAAGGGGAGGGAGGCCGGGCAGCCCCGTAAATCAATCAAATGAATCAGACCCTGAAGCGACAGATTCAGTGAACTCTTGCGTGCTTTAGAGAACGTGGACTACGCTACGCGATCAATTTGTTGCTTCAAGGGAAAAACCGGACAAATCAAGAGCGGGAGAAGAAAGGTTGCCAGAGAAGGAAACTGGGACACAGGAAAGCCATGGAGCGGTACAAAGAAATTCCGAAAGGACTGGGCCAAACCTTGGACCCCACAGACACGTTGTCGTCCAACCACCTGCTGTGCAGGTGCAAGTGCCGATGTCAACAAGGCAAGACTTGCCTGTTGCAAATTGTGGGGCAACATGTTCGGTGCATTACAGTCGCCATAAAAAGTAGCAGAGGTTTGGTCTCGCAAACCTGGTGCCGTTGGTTTGGCTGAATGTGTTCCAGGTTGCAAAGCCAACTTTGGCTGGTGCGGCGTGGGCAAGCGCCCTCAGTGAGGAAGACCCGGAGAGGGCATGCTGTTGTACGTCGTAAAGCTACATACTCGTGTAGATATTTGTGTGCGCTAGGGTGAGATCCTGAGGTGCTGACCCAACTTTGCAAGGAGACTTCAACGCCAGCACTGGCGGACACTGACCTTGGCTGATGAGTTGTCATGCAGCATCAGGTTTGCAATCCGCGGTGTCAAGCTGTGCAAAAGCTTGATGCAGGATGTTCCGCTGCCTGTGCCAGAGCCGTCTTCGAGCATGCCCGCAAACAACCAGGCCTGGTCGAAGCGAACTTACTGTTATCAGCATTTCATGCCTCTGAAAGGCGAGATGCCATCTGGAAGATGCGAAGCATGTCATGTTAACGCACATGTGGTTGATTTCCATCAAGACCACATTTTTTTGATATGCAGGTCGCCACACGCACGCTCAGGGGATCGTTAATGTCCGCAGAGGTGGGGCGTCCAGCAAAATGTCTGTGTGCAACACAAGCCCGGTCCATGAGTATGGCTTGTGTCGGACACCGTGGCAGCAATTGAGGCCTTCAGGTTCTGCTTCCCGCAGGACAGATTTCAACGTGAGGATGCTGTTTACGCTATGTGTGTGGCCACGCACAGCTCAGCTTTGTAGGATATTTGTGGCGTCCCACTGGAGTCAAAAGCGGCTCTCAAGGACCTCGTGGCTCTTTTCTGGAGGTGGTCAATCCATGTGCTCGTAGGGAACGTACGAAGCACGAGTCAGGAAAAGGCAAGGGCACGAGTCAGGACAAAAACAGAAAAGGCACGAGTCCGTAAAAAGAGTGCGAGTCAGGAAAAACAAAAGGCACGAGTCAGGAAAAGGGACACGAGTAAGGAAAAATGAATGACACGGGTCAGGAAAAACCTACGTGTCAGGAGAAAGGCAGGTGCGGGCATTTTCTAAAACCATTCCCTTTTTTTCAACTCACGCCGCTTTTTTCACCAGTCACGCCTCTTTTCTTGACGCACTTACTTTTTTCCCGATTCACGCCTCATGTGCTGGTGTAGATGGTACTCCGCAGCAACAGAGCAGCAAAGCAGCAAAGATGCAAAGCTGCTGTGGCAGAAACAGGAAGCAGCTTGTTGGCAGAAAGAAGCATTTCAAACTTGGAGGGAGTTTGACTGGCATTGTGATGGAACGATGAGCTTGCTTGAGATAGATGGACCCTTTGCAATTTTGGACGCCAGCGATCGAGGACCCCAGCTGGAAGCGTTCCTCTGCTCGAAATCGCCGAAGAGCCACAGCTGCTTGAGGCAGCCGCGGCTGTGTCTCGGACCCTCTGGACCGTTTTCAACTTCTGCAGAAGGCATCCAACTTGCCAAAAGATCTTCAGAGGTGGCTCAACTTACTTAGTAAAGTGCTCCAGTCATGAAAAGAGATGTCACTAACTCACTGGCATATGATTGTCTTCTGTTATGAGTTGTACGAGCAGAACAGAAGGTTGCAAAGCGATGGAGCAAGAGCATGTTAACTTGCCACTTTGCTACCTTCTCGCTCAAGCTAATGCACCGAGCAGTGCCATGTCATTGGATCATTGGCACATTTGGAAACATGCCGATCCTAGAAATCGTGTGTGTCCAATTTCACATGGCAACTGCTCCATAGAACCTGTCGACAGAGCAGACCAAAGAACTGAAATCTTGGACAAGGCCTGTAGCGTTACAGCATTGCTGCATGCCCTTGAGAACATAAGATAACATAACTTCAGGGATGTTCAGTGTCATGCTCTTCGACGTACATTCATGGAGTGAGTCCATGCTGTTGACCTTCTTCCTTGCCTCTTTGAGTTCTCATCATCGCAAGGCAAAGCGAGAACTGTTGACAGCTAAATGCTTGTCCAGATCCAGATCTAAACATTATAAGAATAGTCCCAAAGTGAGATCGCGAGCATTACAGTCAAAAGCATTCGGAAAAGGGTAATGCTTTGCAGTCCTTTAGGAAGGGCGGTCGACGTGCTAGCGAAGCATGCGCAGCTTGATGAGCCTGTGCTGTCAGCATGTCCATTGCTGTCTCACCCAGAGTCGGTGATTCTCGTTTCGGAGAGAACAGTAAGGGGAAGTCAAAGTCCTGTTCATGCGTTGCACGGCATTTTGCCTCATCCACCTGTGCAGCATGCCGCATATACCGCAGATGCTGGCTCCCTAGGGTGGGCCAAGGGACGGCACGGAGCAGACATGGAGATGTGTTGCCGACCATATTTGGAGAAAGCAATGCTGTTGCCGGCGGCCTCAGGTCCCACAATTAATGTGTTCAAGTGCTTGGCAGGTGGGAGAAGCCTACGTGTGCGCGTGGAGGTCACAAGACGGTACCTCAGAAAACCTCTACTTTTGGATTTGCAGAAGCCGCAACTAATCTGTTCTCCTGTGAATCAACCCCTTCTGACGATGAACATGTTCTCGGGAGGGCCTCATTTTTGGAACCTGCTGTTCGGGCAGGCAACGACACCCAGCATGTCCTGTGAGCTGGGGCGAGAGGGAAGGAGGGTTATAGAAGCAGGAGGGGGGGGGGGCCGCTGGGGGGAAGGAGGGTAGGCAGGAGGGGCTGGGCGGGATTGTTGGACAAAAATTGCGGTGTTGGGGCAGCTGAGCCCTGATAGGGGGTCCTTTGGTGAAAAATGCGCTGGATGGCCCCATGATTTGCTGGATGTTACCATTGGTTTCAGGGGCTACTACTGGGTGTAGCAAACAGACAATTCCGCAATGATGAATGAATTTCTTGGGCCTCCGTGTATATTTGTTAGGGGGCAGGGTTCATTATTGATAGGGGAAGGAATTGCCAAGGTTGACTGCGAGTCCTCCCATACTGCCGGCCGTCGCTCGCAGGTGCAAAAGACCAAAGTGCCAATGTTGTGCCATCATCTAAAAACCAAGATTCGCGTTCTCCTCGAGATGGCCAGCATGCTGGCACATGAGTAGACTTGTGGAGGCGAACAGCGGCTGCATTTCTGCTTCTTGATTCCGCTGGAGAAGAGGGGCAGGCCACCCCAAACCAACCAATATACGAGTAAGCTCTCTCGTGAGACGGGCAGACAGCAACAGCACTTGAGATTCTGTGAAGGACTTGCTCGCTCATTGCCATCAAGGCCTGCGAGACATTGATCTACATACCCTCTTGTGAAATGTGTCGTTGAAGGACATGATGCACAGACACTACCTGGCCACAAGCATCGTGTAGCCACGAGTTTCAGTGGTGCTGCCCTAAAAATGCTGTGGTGTCAAATGATCATAATGTCCCAGTTGTTGGGATTTGCAGTGGCGAGAGGCCACGGCAGCCACGCAGATGAAGCAAAGGCGCTGGTTCGCCAGCAATCAGCTCATTGCATAGCTAGACAAGTGCAGAGTTTTTACAGGCAGTGGCTGGTGACCTCAACCAGTTCCTTCATGACCCATCAAAGATAGCAGATGCCTCTGCTGCAGCCTTACGCAGCATTTGATAGCCAGCGTGGGTGGGAAGATATGCAGCACATCTTTGTACATGTCCAGGCATGGGCCAAGCTAATGACTGATGCAACTCGGCCAAGCAAGGCTTGAACTGGAGCATGCTTTTAACCTGCACGTATGCATGGGATGACCCTTCCAGTGCGGCACGATTGAGCCCGTGCTATTTGCTGCTGGCTGCGATGAGGGGTTTGTACGTAGGCTTGAAAGTCATTTGCACCTGGCAGCGCTTTTTGGAAAAGAGCCACGGCCGCTATGTAGTCTTAGCGGCCCCTGTCCGGAAGTGAGAGCCCAGGTGGCCGTAGTAGCGAACTTCGGCGTGGGGACCACAGTATTGGAGTGGTCAAGCATGGCCAAGCGCTAATCTCACCAGCTTGTAGCTCTCCTGCCGCTAGACTTAGATGTTTGAATTCCCGTTCTCTGCCTGCACGGGTTAAGTATTGATGAATCTTCCACAGGCACTGATCCTAACCTTTCTTGGGGCTGCGTACCATGCTTACGGCTACGTGCAGCTTCGGAACGCGCAGAAGCAGGCTGTGGAGTTCTTGCAGCCAAGAAGAGCTGTTGCTCTTCTGAGTCATGCAGGCGTCTCGCTCGCAAGGAGGAGGACATCATTAGACACGAGGCCTGCCTTGAAAGAAAATCGTGGCTGCAAATTGGTGCAGCATTTGGAGCTGGGATGTTGCAATCAGGTGCCCTTGGCGAAGGTCGGAGATGAATTATGCAGTCTGGAGTCAAATGCTCTCCGGTCTGCTTGCAATCCGAGACTGCCCCTTTCCGCGCAGAAATGATAAATGGGTTTCGGAGATATATATAAATGTATATATATACATATTATATATATATACGTGTTACCCCCCCTCTGAAACCAACCTTTTCTCAACAAACCATGGCTTGCGCGGTAAAATGAATTGATTTCAAGCCTTCTTCTGGAGCCTGCCTTTCAGTAGTTACTACTACAAGGAAAAAGTTCCTCTTTCTCAGATGTAAATTTGACCGTAACTACATTCCAATGAAATCCACTGGTATCTCTTCAAAATCCCTCTCGAATTTAGTGTTGTGGCAGCCTCTTTCATGCCTTGCGAAAACAGGGTCGCGACCCCCAAATTCGACTATGGATCCCCGAATATCGCAGGCTGTATCTTGACGTCGAGAATCTACGACACTAGAGTAGCATTTAACAAGCTAACCGAGCAGGTCCGTTAGCGGCGTACTAAATCCAAAAAAGAATCAAGGCCATAGGCCATAGACGTACTGCTTGCCCGATTTACTACACCTGCTGGCTTTATAGGACCATGGAGATTGAAATATTAACAATCCTGATTATGGATATCATTATAGACTAATCCCCGCAATCGCTTGATCTGAAGAATTTGCTTGCGACCGCCACGATAGAAATGCTGAATATTACGAAAAGAAATTCTCAAAATTCAATATTCGCTCATTATTCTTGAAATTTGATTCTTAAATATTGCTCATATTTTTTCAAATTAGATATATATTCTAGATACTATATACTAAAGATTAAATAGATATATTTTTTTCCGTTATCATTCTAATATTCTGAATCTTAAAGGAAATATTTTAATTTTCGCATTTTTCAATTTTCTTTCTAAAATATAATCTTTCAATTTTCTTTTTTGAATTAGAATTTGCCTTAAATAATACGATTTATATATTAGATTTAAGAAAATAAATAATTTCGCAAATATTATTGTAGATGAGGATGGTTCTGCTACTCATATTAATAGAGCATCGTTATTAGAATAGATTCGTAATGATAAACAAATTGGTAGGTCACGAAAAATTGCGCGTAACTCTGATTCTTTTCCTTCTTTTTTTTATATTCTGAATTCTGGATAAGTATTATTATATTTTCAATTGAGGATTTTTATGATAATAATAATTGATATAATTACGTATTTGAGAAGAATCTTCATATTTATTAAATCGCTCTTCAAAGAAATAGGCGAAACATTCTTATTGGAGAGGAGCTGCTATTTTTTTCATAGGCAATCCGAAGCGAATTATTTCTATCTCTATTTTATGAATTGTCATACACATAACTCTCTATAGATATATGAATTTCAAATTTCAATTCGAAATTCGAACCTGCTTCTCTGGCGGACAGAGCCGGAGATTCGGAAGCTCTATTCTTTTGATATCTCATTAAAAATATCGTGAAATCGCTATTTATCTTGGGGATGAATATCATTAGGAGATTCTATAAGAATCTAGCATAGCAAATAATGATCTTATTAGTCGTGGACATCTTGATTGATATTCAAAAACGATTGATCTATAAATTTTGAAAATTTGTAGCTCTTTATCTCGGATCATATATACGTAGACAACCAAAGAGAAAGAAATCATTTGAAATCTCGAGAGATTTTTTTATTTATACGG